TATGTGCGTTCACAAGGTTTCAGTGAAAAACGACGTTTTTTGTGGCTTGTGTAAAAAAGATAAAGAAATGCCTCGTGAATAGTTAGAATGAAGCATCAGAAATTGTCTTTTTTACACAAGCCACAAAAAACGTCGTTTTTCACCGAAACCTTGTGAAAGCACATAAAATGTCCGGATATACACGCGGGATTTTTGTTTCGAATTTTTCAACTTCTAGGAATTTGGATTTCGACAATGGGTGCATATGCACCTAGGAGCCAAAACGCCACTCTCATGCAAAATTGTGATGTATCAAAAGAACTTCGAGAAGGGTTTGTAATATTTGGCGCTAGAAAACTACTATGAAGCAGCCTCTACCCAAGAATTGTTTTTTTTTACCAAAATACTTTAGCACTCAAAGAAACAAGGGGGCCAGTGCACATTAGAAGGGCAAAATATATCACATAGCCATTGTGACTAATTCATGGCGTGGTATCAGGTTGATTTCACAGCAGAAGCAAGTGACTTCAAGAGAGCTGGTGATGGTCTTCTTAATGTGTGAGTGAGAAGGATCATCAGTGACAGTAGTGTCAATGCCCCAGCTTGATGAGCTGAGCCTAAAGAGGTAGGAACATACATCAGAAGTGTGGATATTCCCAATGTAACCTGAAACAAAACAGGTAGCACAGTTAATAGTGCTGCATGTATTAATATGGGTAACGAAATCGTTCGACACCCCGCAAAAAAAACCCGAAACCGTTCGATGCTGCAGTTTCGAAATGTTAGGTTGGGATAATTTTCATAAAATCATTCATCAGCTATACAGAGGTCATGAGTTTTAAATCAGCTTATAAGTCAGAACTGCATGGATAGTTGAAACATTATTTACACAATGTCAACAAGAGAGTCAAACATGTGAACTATACCTGAAGAGCAGCCATCCCAAGTGTGCTTCCAACCAGAGATTTGACCGCTGGATGCATATCTACTTTCTTTGCAGCCAGCCATAAGGCACTCACAGACAATAAGGTGCTTGTAGCAAGAATTCGGTGATTAAGCTACAAGAATGTGAAAAAAAAAACATGTTAACCTGCAACAAGTTCTCCGCTGCATAAAAAGATGGTGGTTATGTGCTACAAGAATTAGTGAACTGGTCACAAGAATTAGTACTGATAAGACTCTTATCAATACTGATTGATGCATTTTTTTTGAAGGAGCTATCGATTAATATATAAAAAAAGAAGTTTATGATTCTAGCCAGGTTACCCTTCATAGAAAAAATGAATAACTCAAACGCTAAGGAGCTAAGAGAATGAATGAGCAAACCAATTAACAACAGAAGTTTAACACGGCATAATTTTCAGAGCTATAAACTCCTATCATGATTGCGGACAAAATGTTACCTGCACAGTAGATGTATTTTCAAAGAAATTACGTATAAAAGGCTCCATACTGAACACATCTTCTGGAATCCAACTGTCACCCATCTTCGGAAATGTATTGTATGCACGCCCCTGGTCATAACAAATAATTAGGCATACAGGGCAAACGGAAGCTAAGCATAGTTTCTATGAGAGCAAGAGAAGTGTTGACATACTGCATCATTCCCTGCAACGAACGCTCCAGATATGGCAGTAATGCCTACAACAGCACTGGCAGGAATTGCCAGCTTTCTAAATTTTGCTGCCCCTTTTACCCATTTCATTGATTCAGCCGGAGGGTCTGGCATTACTACTGAAAGAGCAGTCCACAATATACCACAATATATAACAAATGCAGAGGTCAGATGAGCTGCCAGCCTGTATGGGCTAACTCTTGGTTCAACATACTCAGATGCTGGTTCCTAATATGAGAAAAAACGAGTGGTGAACCTCTAAGCCACAAACTTACTAGTTCAACAAGGGCATTGTATTAGTACCTCAAGACCACTTTTCACCATCCACCAGCCAATCAGTCCTTGCGCACCACCAAGTGCAAAAAGAGCAGAGAGCCTGACGCCAAGTTGGCGGGTAACATAGCCTTTTGCAACAAAGTATGCAAAAGGAACAGCAAATACAAAGCCCAAAGCTCTTCCCCACATTCTGTGTGCATACTCCATCCAGTATATAAATTTGAAATCGTCAAGGTTCATTCCTTTGTTCACCCTAGAAATGTTAAATGAATGCTGCTATCACATTAGCAGAAACATGGAAGGAGAAAAGAGCTAGATGCAACTGACTACAGATGAGAGAAACGAAAGATCTCACAATAATTAGAGCCAAAAGTAAGTTTATGCTTTCTTCCTACAAAATGTGTGAAGTTACTTTACCACATAACTAGCAAAACCATATCAAGTTCTCTAAAAGAGTAACTGGAACAGAGAATAAAGCCCAGCCAAAACTTTCTCACAATTTCTATCAGCACCTTCATATAGGCTGCTAGTGTTGAGATTATCAAGTTAGAATGTGATCTCACAGGCATTTTCTAGCGGGGCCAGTGATGACAATTAATCAGTCCTTACGGAGCATCTAATCTAAGGAAATGAAATATCATTTATTTTGTTTCAAGCAACTTAAATATCTAAGCTATGTTTTTGATTAAAGCTGTAAACACTTGTTCTCAGAATCGTAAACTGAGAATGGGATTTGTTAAGGATTGAGGCAAAAGAGACGTGAAAATCTGTAGCACTAGCACCAACAGGACTTCCTTGAAATGCTACGATCGTCTGAGAGGACAGTAAAAATTAAAGACTGGAGCAAGGCGACAAATAATGAATGCATCGATTGCATTCTTACCTCATGTACTCAGGTGACTGCTTGTATTTCTGAAATTCCAGTAGCCACTCTTCTTCCGACATTGGAGGCAAGCCCCCGGCGAACTTCCAGTCAGTCATTGACAGCCCCGAACGTGTGAGCCGAGTGACTCCACCAAGTATGACCATGCTGAACACCCAGGCAGCACATCCAAAGAGCCATATACCAACTGCCTTCTGTGCTTGAGGCCCTTTGGTAACTAGCAGCTTCAGTCCTGAATTTGCTGTTGCGTTTGCCATATTTGAATTCAGTGCAGCTGCAGTAGTAGACATTTTCCGTGTGCATTGGCCCATAAAACTCTAACATGATGCAAATGAAGCACCAGTAAATTTTTGGAAATTACTTTCAACAAGTGTAGCATTTTGTAACAGAAAATTGAAATTTAAACAGGTGATTGTGATGAGCTACATAGTGTATTCCTTGGTATCAACATATCCAAGGAAAACAATCAACTCTTTTAAGTTGAATAATTGCAGCCGACTAAGACACCGTTATCAGGTTAGTAGCATGTGTGATATTCCTCTAACTGCAAAAATTAAAGCATGACCACGGCTAAGCAATAAGCATTATTGGAGCTACAACTACAAGTTTATTACAGCAATCAGATAGCCTTTTCCACTACAACGTAATCAGATGTTAAACTCTAAACCAGAATGTCTCACATCGAGTCCAACATTATGCCACTTTAGACAGAAATCTCACAAAATGGTCACACGACATTCGAATCATAGAAAATTACTGTACGACTCACGCGCCTACAAAATGATGGCGTAACCAAGAGGAACCACGCAAGCAGAGGAAGAGGGGAAGGGAAGAGAAACGCTCACCTTAGGGCCGAAAGAGCGGAAGGCGTGGTACGAGGCAACTCGGGAGGCGGCGAATAAGCCGCCAGTCGATTGCGGGGGTGGCGGCGGGGGGAGGTGGCGGCCGCCCCCGCCGCACGAGCCGGATCCAACCCTAGGAGGAGCGGGGGGCGGAGCTGGAGCGCTCCTCGGGAGGCGAGGGATCGTCATCAGGGCGGAGGCCTGGTCCCTGCCCCGGCGGAGCAGCGACGCGGCCACCCTGCTCCCCATCATGGCAGGCGGTTGCGCGGTGGCTTGCGGAGGAAGAAGCAGCGGAAGGCAGAGCTCGCCGGAGATTTTAGAAGCGGAAAAATTGTGGGGTTTAGGCGCTGGTCACGTCGTGCATTTCCACTACACACGAAAAATGCGTGCGGGTGTGCACGCTCGGAAATAGGCTGGCCCGACTTCTAGACTAGGCCGAATACGAACTTTCGGCTCGTTCTACACATTCGATCATTTTTCTTCTTCTCAAAGAAGCAATGTTCCTAAACATTTTCTATTACTCACTCCGTCCTTAAGGCATCTCTAACGCGGATTACATAAAAGATGTTAGAAGAGTAAAAAATTGGTTTTGTTCTTCTGAACCGCACATAACTGATCCCTTATCGTTGTTAGAGCAGTAAAACATTTACTCCTCGGCCGTCCTGACTCTCAAATATACTCGACCGCTCACCCGTGGAGTAAAATTATCCCCTCGATCCCACGTCGGCACGCTCCCCACCCCGCGCCACATCATCGTAGGTGTTGCCTCTGTGACCATCCTTTGCCTCAATCGATACCCCGCTGCCTTCGTTGCCCGCCTGGCCCCACTTCGAGATGCTCACTGGTTGCTGTTGTCGCCAAAATAAATCTATATCGCTGTCGTCGCCGCGTCAATCCCATCGTCGGGAGCACGCACTGCATCTTCTCCTTATGTGCCCCTTCATTGACTGCCGGCCATCTCAAAGCCCCGCCTATCACTAGCATCTTGGGCACTGGCTCAACGCCACCGACCGACCCTGACACCTCCTTCGTCCTTCAAGTGTTCAACGAATTGCTTGGGTGAGTTTCTTTGTGATATTTCATCTCATTTTTTTTTGGCAATCGAGTTGAACCTGGTCATTTCTAGTGTAGATGAGAGGCTCAAGGAGATCGAGTAGTCCTGGATTAGGGGGTCCTCGGGTGCCCGGCCTATTCATCATAGGCCGCACTGATGGGCCGTGAAGATGAACGCTGAAGATCATCCCCGTGTCCGGGTAGGACTCTTTTATGCGTGAACGGCAAGTTTTAGTGTCCGGATGTATTATTTCCTTCCTCTTCAAGCCGATTTTGTACGACCCTAGGCCCCTTCAGTGTGTATATAAACCAGAGGGTTTAGTCCATGGAGATCATTAGAATTCTCATAGGTTAGAAAGTTGGGGTTTAGCCATTACGATCTCGAGGTAGATCAACTCTTGTAACCCATATTCTCATTGAATACAATCAAGCAGGACACAGAGTTTTACCTCCTTTAAGAGGGCTCGAACCTGGGTAACAATGTGTCCCCATCGTCCCTTGTTACCCTCGATCCTCAAACACACAGTTTGGGACCCCCTATCCGAGATCTGTTGGTTTGACACCAGTATTGGTGCTTTCATTGAAAGTTCAGTTGTGTTGTCGATAGAAGGATCGATGGCTCGCCTTGTCATCAACAACGATATCACTTTTGGAAGGAGCCTAACTTCGAGACAAGTCCTCCAGCTCGGCAGTTTCACCATGGGCACCCACACGGCCACCAAGCCGATGGTGCCCCCGTGATCACCAGGCATCGCCTCCGCATCGGTCTCGAACACACCGAAAAGATGGATCCGGCGGACATCTCGTCCTTGAACGAACTGCTGGATTGCATCGCCACCCTGGGGATTTCAACGGACTATGATCGGATCGGGCTTAAACCTGACCAGAGGAAATCAATCTCCCGTCGATCACTCACCTGGTGGCGGTCGTCGAGGAACGAGACAAGAACACTTCCTACCATAAATTAAAAACCAGCTATGTTCGGATCTCCGAACCCATTGAACCGGATATTCTTCCTTTTGAGGAGATCTTGCGTCCCCCGAACTCAGGGTCAGGCTTAGAGTCCTGGGAGCACTTAGATCTTCCCAGACCCGAACCGGTGATCTCGGATATTTTACAAGCTCCGAACAGAATTTTGGGCCGGGATTTAAGTTTTAGCCCACCCGCCCACCACAATCAATACGCTCCAAGTAATTCAGGCCCTCCAGACATATACGACCTAATGTATGTATGACAGCAACCTTAGGAAACGGTCCATCACTTTTGGGCCAGGTTTCTACTTGTTAAAAACAAGATTAAAGATTGCTGCGACGACGATGCGGTCTCGGTTTTTCATCGCAATTGCATCGATGAGGGAATTCGGAATGCCCTCAACCGTCGTCGCATACAGAATTTCACGGAACTATTGCACGTAGTATGGAAGTACTGCGTGATGGAAAGCACATGGAAGGCCCAAAAAATCCAATTGAAACCCGCCGCCTTTAAGCAGCGCACCGCTTGGGCAAAACGGGTACACCCTTACGAGGCATCCGATCACAAGCCTGTCGGCAAGAAAAACAAACCCTTTGCGGGACACAGGTCCGTCCTTGACGAACTCCTCGACAAGCCCTGTCAGGTACATGCAACACCGAGCACTGAACCAACTCACAACCTTTGGGCATGTTGGGTACTCCGGCAGGTGGCTAAAAGCGGCAAGGCTATCCTCACCACCGTTACCCCAGAAAAGCATTCTCCGGAGGATGACGGCCTTAACGTCTTTACGGTCTTCGAGACCTTCTCTTCAAATAATCAGCGCAAAAGGGCACTCCGCGACCTCGCCGAAATTAACCAAGTAGCCGCAATGAGTCCATGGAACAACATGACAATAACTTTCACCGCCGCCGATGAACCAAGCACCCGATCAGTCCGAGCACCTGCCACCTTGGTCTTAAACCCAATTGTGTACGGGTTCCGACTTACCAAAGTGCTCATGGACGGCGGTAGTGGACTCAACCTCATCTACGAGGACATGCTCGACAAAATGCATATTGATAGAGCATGCATCAAGCAAAGCAGTACCACCTTTCGAGGTATCATCCCCAACCGAGAAGCATGATGTTCGGGGAAAATCAAACTTGATGTAGTTGTAAGTGCATCTAGTGCCACCCCTAGTTGGTTTTGGAGTATTGACGACAAACCTAGTTGAGGGACTAATGTGTTTGTGAGAATTGCAGGATAACACAGGTAGAAGTCCCTCATTGATTCGGTTTTCCTACCAGAGATGACCCCTAAAAATGTATGAAGACATTGAAGTCAAAGGTGGTATGTGAAGACATTCACATTGAAGACTATGACAAGAGAAGACATCGCATGAAGACTATGGAGCGCGAAGACTTAGATCTTTCTTTGTTCTTTTTCTTCTTTGTTGAGTCATAGGAACCACCATACTGTTAAGTGGGGTCCAAGAGAACCAGTCAGAATGACTGAAGTGATGCTTAACCAAAATCCTATGTCTTCGAGTGAAGACTATGAGAGCGAATCTTGTCCAGAGTTGGACAAGTCAGCTTTGCTTGTAGCCCAAGTAAAGTTGTCGTGTGTGTTTGAAATCTGACCGTTGGAACACGTGTCAGTTCCTTAGTGACCCAGGGTCATTTCGGACAAATTAGGTCGGGTTTCCTAATGGCTATAAATAGCCCACCCCCTACAACCATGAACGGTTGGCTGCTCAGAGTTAAAGTACGGCTTTTGTCATTTGAGAGCAACCCACCTCGAAGCCTTTGAGAGAGAATTCCTTGAGAGGATAAAGCCCTAACCACTCAGAGCCAAAGAGTGTTAGGCATCACTTAAGTCTTTTTGTCTGTGTGATCTGAAGACTTATTACACTTGAGGACTGTGAATCCTCCAGCCGGTTAGGTGTCGCGTTCTGAGCATCCAAGAGTAATTGTCGATCGTCGGTGAACGAAGTCTGTGAAGGTTTGGAATTCTACCTTGAAGACTTACCAGAGTGATTGGGCGAGGTCTGTGTGACCTTAGCTCAAGGGGAATAAGGTGAAGACGAGGTCTTCTGAGTTGAATCTCAGCCTCCCTAACCAGACGTACAGTTGTCACAGCAACTGGAACTGGTCCAACAAATCATTGTCTTCAACAAGTCACTGGTTTCATCCTTCCCTTCCCTTTACTTACTGTTGGTTCTTGTGAAGTCACTGTACGATAGCATCACCATTCGACTTCACTAAGTGATTACTTGTACTGATTGGTTTCACCATATCTTCCTACCTGATCCTTACTGCCTAGCTGCTGAAAGTGCGTTATATCGACTAGAGGGGGGGTGAATAGGCGATTTTTATGAAAGTCTTCAAAACGTGGAAGTTATGAAGACAAACGATAGAAATAAACCTATTACCCTGCAGCGGAAGGTAGACTACACTAGGCAAGCCATAGTCAAGTATTCAATAAAGTGAAAGCACAATGACTAATAGCAGCAATGTAGTAAGGATCAGGTAGGAAGATATTGTGAAGCCACACAGAACACGCAGTCACTCAGTGAAGACAAAAGATAGTGCGAACATACAATGACTTCACAAGGAGTAACAGTAAGTAAAGGGAAGGGAAGATGAAACCAGTGACTCGCTGAAGACAATGATTTGTTGGACCAGTTCCAGTTGCTGTGACAACTGTATGTCTGGTTAGGGCGGCTAGGTATTTAAACCTTAGGACACACAGTCCCGGACACCCAGTCCTGAACATGCAGCTCAGGACACCCAGTCCTCACCATATTCCCCTTGAGCTAAGGTCACACAGACCTCGCCCAATCACTCTGGTAAGTCTTCAAGGTAGACTCCCAAACCTTCACAGACTTCGTTCACCGGCAATCCACAATGTCTCTTGGATGCCCAGAACGCGACGCCTAACCGGCTGGAGGATGCACAGTCCTCAAGTGTAATAAGTCTTCAGATCACACAGACAAGAAGACTTAAGTGATGCCTAATTCTCTTTGGCTCTGGGTGGTTAGGGCTTTATCCTCGCAAGGAATTCTCTCTCAAAGGCTTCGAGGTGGGTTGCTCTCAAACGACAAAAGCCGTACTCTGAATCTGAGCAGGCAACCATTTATGGTTGTAGGGGGTGGGCTATTTATAGCCACTTGGCAACCCGACCTGATTTGTCCGAAATGACCCTGGGTCACTAAGGAACTGACACGTGTTCCAACAGTTAGATTTCAA